CTACCGCACCTCCAACTCGCCCGCATCGTCGTCTCAGGCACACGCCAAGAAAGCCCCGCAACCCCCGACCGCACTGGGTGAGGTCGGGGTCGGTCCCAGTGCGCCTTCGGTACGGCCAGCCCTGCCTATTGACGCGACCATCTCCATCGGACCAGATAAGAAGGTCTTGGCTCCCTTTCCCTTCCCCATCGGCGAGACTTCCTCGTCGCTGGCGATGAGCAGGGGGACGTGGGGTGTCCTCGGGTCCGTCTCTCTTCCTCCCGCCACCAAGACGATCCGCCACAGCCCGGTGGCGCCGCTGTCGATAGACTCCAGCTGTGGGGCGCCCAAGCCACTCTGGGCGGACCTGCCCCTGACGATGTCATCTTTACTGGGGCGTCCGGGGGATGCCGCGGCGGTCCCCGCGCTTTGGGGCACGGCCGCCGCCTCAGAGCGGCCCACGCGACTGCCCATTCCCCCCTTTTCCACCGACGCGGAGGTAGCCATGGCTCCCGGCACCCCTGCCCCGCCCTGCCCCATTTCCACCAGCCCTACACGCGCGGCCGAGGTGGACGAATCGGCTGCGCTCCCTACCATAGGCACCCCTTCCGCGGTCCAGACGATCGCGTTGAAGGCCCCTCCTCAGCCGCTGCTGCCTCTATCTCCAACAGCCCCCCACAGGGCCCCTGGGGACAAGCAGATGGTCGTGGCGGACCTTTCCGCCCTAGAGGAGGACCCCTCCGCGTCTTGGACCTTCTCGATGGACAAGAACAGGGAGGCGGAGTCCCTATACCCCGATCCTGCTGCAGAGATTCCTATCTGTTACAACGCAAGCGTGCCTGAGGCATCTCAGGATGCCATCAAGGAGACGCCTTTCACGGCGCCGACCTCACCCGAGGTGTTGGGGTTCAGCAAATCGGTCGAGCGGCCCTGGATCACGCGACTGGCGGCCCAGAAGCAAGCAAATGTTCGTAATTTCCTTAACACCCTGTTTTCATCCCCCTTGGTTTCAGCATCTGGCACCGATCTCGGCGACGACAGGGACCTTACCCGCCCTCACCCCGAGCCCAACGCCACCACCAACTCTTACTCCCTCGAATGGGCGATTCGTGGATCGATCGAGTCGTCTTTGAACTTTGTAAGCTCGTCGGTCAGCCAGGCTCTAGCTAGCACCAAGACGAGCGATCGTAATTCCTACCTCGACAATAGTTTGGATAGACTTGAGGACAACAGCGAGGAGGGTTTGGAGCACTTGCGGCGTGTGGTGAACATTGTTATGCAGGTGGCAAAGCAGCAATCGTCGTCCGAGGACGATCTTACCCAGCGGAATGGTGGAGGCGGTCACTTCACTGCGGGGGCTGGTACAATGGGCAGCGGCGCTTATGCTTAAAATCACATATATGAGGGCAAAACCGCACCGCTATCCTTCGGTACTTAAAGGTTGCTTGTCAAAATAACCAGTATTAGGGGTCATCAATACAAGAACGTATAGAGGCTGGGCAAGAGCTAGCAAAAGCTTTATTAATGCAAGCATAATGTCTTCCATATACACACAAAAAAAGGATAGGTTAGGTAAAAGGTATCTTTTTTTCCAACTTCTATTTATTAAAGCAATGATAGGATCTGTTTTATAAAGCTATAATTACAAACAAAGATTCTTAAATGAAAATTTGCATATATATGATTCAACCAAGCTTGAGTGTTTACATGGCAATTATTATGACTACTATTATAATTTTTTATATAGTTTTAAGGGTAAAAAGACTCTCAGGCAGGCAAAAAAAAAAGAAAGAAAACATAAAAAGGAGGGGAATGTTCTATTGATGATATACACTGATTAGTGCAGTTGTAATAAATAATCGTGTGGCATGGCCTTTGTAGTTTACTACTTCCTTTCATTCATTTCCATTACTCTAATTTATTATTCGTAAGGAGTAATGAAAAGGTATAAGTAGTATAACATTTTTTTTAGGGTGCTGTATAAATGAATAGAAAGACCGCAAGTCCTCAATATGGTTTGTAAATCTTATCGCTTGCTTCTTTTTTCAGTAGCAATGCCCCATCTAATAGATTAGCAATGATTTGGGGTTTTGCTTTGATGGCCGGATGAAAGATCATTTTTAACACCCTTCTTGTTGTTTGGTAGCGTTTTTAATTTTGTTCAATCGAAGAAACATTCATAGCAGTTTTTTATTTTAATTGGCATTACAAAATACACTCTTAGCTGTATTACGTTTATTTTACTTACCAATTTTATGGGTTTTGAAATTTCGTCTTTTTTTTTGTATCCCTAAAACAATATCTCTGTAACAAATGCGCTTCTAAAATGGTTAGGCTTCTACCTCATCTAAATGTACTGAGACCAAGGATTGATGCGTAAGTAAACACTTTTCTATCTTTTTATAATTTTATTATTATCAAAGAAAATCAAAGTAATACATTGTTTATAGAAATCTTTATGGTCAATGAACATTGTTCTCTTGACCTCGCTGATGTGCATACTTTGTGTGAGGCTGCGGTTGACTATGTTCTCCAAAATGTGAATACCGTAGGATACATCATAAAAGGTATTGAGGAAATTACATTAAAAGCCTTCCCGCGCGAGCGCATTAAGTGTTTAAAAGCAGATCCAGTTTCCTTATTGGGCTCTGAAAATACATCTTCCTTGACAAACCTACCAACCGTCGATTTCAGTTCTATCTCAGCGGGCTATATGTGGCAGCGTACTCGACCTGATTGTGAGAAGGGCGACATTGTACTTATTGAAGACTACCTGACGTTAATGAATCAAGCGCCTCAAAATCACACCCCATCTGCGCTTGAAGAATCCAAACCAGATACAAAGATAAAAGATACTACCAATCTTTCTAGTAGTGTGGATCTAACGACTGAACTGGAAAAATATCACAAGAATGTTTTAAATTTTGTTGAGCGCAACCTTCGACATGAGCTAATTCACGCATTTGATGACGTTCGCGGTCACATTGACAGTGCCGATTGTTTTCATCAGGCCTGTAGCGAGGTGCGAGCAGCTCGACTAAGCGGTGATTGCTTCGTAGGCGAGGAACTCAAGAGAGGACGTTTTGACTACTTTGAAGGCGGTTTAAAGTGCGTGCAGCGACGGGCAACGATGGCGTTAGAGACAAATCCAATATGCCGGGGATTCTCCAAGCGGGCAGTCGATACGGTTTTTCAGCGATGCTATTCGGATTATGAGCCCTTTGCTGCACCTGTTTATACCATGGGTAGCTATGGAGAGCGTCGATTTGAAACGGGTGTTCTGAAGCAGAAATAGACCTAAAAATTCATCCCAATAGAATTCCAAGAAAGTGTAATGTTTCTTCCCTTCTATGCTGTTATCATATGCTTTTGTAATCATAGATTTGAAGCGTCGAATGCTGGAACCTTTTTTTACACGTGAATTTGCTTTATTTTCTAAGGATTGGAAGTAATATTGTATTTATCATTCCCTCTAAAAAGTATTAGATATATTTATTTTCCTTAAATCTTATTAACTCAAAGAGTTCTTTTGTGATAGTAAGTAATACATTAGATAAAGAGAAGGGAAGCATACCTTTACCGTTTATTATCATTATTGAAGGCCAGTGGTTTGACCACCTTTTACAAAAGATAACTATCAACATTTTAAACACCAAAAAAATACAGAAAATGATGATAATATGAAGCCGTCATCTTCCGCTTTAAAATCTACTTCGAGATCGTCCTCGCTGAAGCATTCCGTTTCATCACTCCCTAAGAAGAGGAAGCCCCCACATCACCTTCAGAACTCTAGCTCCAAGGATGCTAGTTCTTCTTCTTTAATCATCAAGCCTAACACAATAAAAAGCGGCAGAACAGACCATTCTGAAACACAGCATCGTAGTAATAGTGTCAATTCGAGAGTAGGTAAGTCTTTACAAGCGCATCCATCAAGTACCAAAAACTCGGTGACCTTGGTGCGTCTTCCAAAACCACCTCGTCTCAAGCGTGTTGATGCGGGTTTGAAGAACCCTCCTTTGCGTACTCAGGGTACGCATACAGGAGTGCATTCGAGAAGTACTTTCCTTCCTTCAGTAGGGGGTGCAGGTGCTGGATTCGCTTCGCGTAGACATCATCATGCACCCCAATTAAGCCCTTGGGATGCCATCACGAAGTTAAAACATTGGATTCAATCCCAGCTGATTTTACGCACAATCAGGAAACCAGGATGCTTGGCCCAGCGCGTTCAAATAAAAATCGATCATGAGGAGAGACTAGCGAAGATACGGCAGCGTTGTGCAAGGCGTGTCGTTAAGCGTTTCCTGGTAAATTACGTCGTCAAGAGAAGATCACTGCGCGAAGCATCTAGTTTTAAAGGTATTGATGAACACGCCCTACCTTTGATGAAAAAAGTATTTGAAGCGCTGCTTCAAAACTCACTCTATGCTAGGCATGGTGATTTAGATCTTGCTCACCAGAGGCCTTCACGCTACAAGCAAGCAATCATGCGGATTGAGCAAGCCTGGCTGCGAAGTGGGACCTATCGTACGCAGATGCAGCGCCTCCGTTATCAGCTCCTTGAAAGAATTGAGAGTATTGAAAGACGTGATCTAGTGCGACAGCGTTTGAGCTTTATGATACAATCCCATCAGCTTTTTTACAATAGCTTTATCATGATTTCTGAAGGAGCTGCGTGGCGCTCCTATTTATCAAACCAAACGTCTATTTTCGATTCGACTGGTGAATTAAAATCAAAAGGTATTTACATCAATGAGGATGAGACTTTGGTTCTGATGAATTCCCTTGATAGTTCTTCCATACAGTGCTTGCTTCGGTTTCTGTGCGAGGACGATGACGAGTCTGCACAGGGGGGTGAGCCATACTCAGAGGACGATATTATACGCGAATGTTCTCGCCGTCTCCTTTTTTCTAAGGAAGAATGGAAGCTTCTAAAGGAATCTGGTAAGGAGAAACTTGAAGGCATGCTACGTAATGCCACCGCGTTGAAAAAAGTACAAGACGAAATAATTAAGTGTAATCAGGTCATCGGTAGTCTAGATTCGTTTTCAGGTGCTGAGAATCCCAAGAAGGCACCTCATCCTCTAAGCATGAAAACACGCGCCATCTCATTTACAACTTGCACGCTGCCGTATTTTCTCACTCAACGTCGCTTCTTTGAATCGGGACGTTCTTCAAATTTTTATGGAAGCTCAGGTCTTGAAGTGCAGCTAAACAAGCCTCTAGTCAACGACGACGATAGTCGCTATGTTTTGAGCGATGGATTCATTCTCCATCCGGCCAATGCCAAACGGAGTCTTTTATTCCGTGAGTATGAAGTTGCTCTCAAAATAGCTCGCGAGCATTGTCAACCCGTTGCCATGACTCCGCTTGATAATTCTTTCGTGATAAAAGGCTACTCTAGTAGAATAACGGAGTTCTACCTTGAGCCTACCATGTCATTGCAGGGATGCCGTCTTTATCCTCAATCTCAGGTCGGGTTTTATACAAGCAACATCATCTTAGGAGATTTGTGGGCAGACTTTTTGGAAAGGTTGCAGAATAAACAAGGGTGCTTCATAGAAAATTCTAAAACTAGACGAAGAACAGGGTCGGAAAAATATTCACTTTGCGCTGCACCACGTGGTGAGGAGGGGTCAGAAGAAGGAAAAAGCCGAGGTGGTAAGTGGCGCCACAATATAAGCGATGAGCCCGTCCGACGGCGCCGATGGCCAATTCCCCTCTATTTGCTTTTTCGAGATGACGATGTAGCTGCAGCGCCGGAAGGCTCAGGGTTTTTCATCGAGGATTGCATTGACAGTTTGAAAAGGAAAACGTGCAACTACGGAAGTCGCCTCTTTTCATGTGATCAAACGTGTACATCGGCAAAATCCCAACTCGATGCAAGAAAAGAAGATTATTCGATTAAATTACTAAACAAAACAGACTTTGGGGAAGTTGAGTTTAAGACAAATGATTCACAAAATTGGCTTAGTTTTTTGCTTATGGTAGAGCAACTTTTGATTCAAGAACGCAAACATCGCTTTAAGTTATCTCAAAGTGCTTTGACACAGCATCGTAGTATGTTAAGATTACTTGATTTACAAGGTGGAGGAAGAAAATCCTCAATGGTACGGAAAGAAAAAATTGCTTGATGAGGGCTCAAGTTTATTTTGTCTCTTCCGTTTCTTCACGTTCTCCTTATTTTTTATTCGTGGAGGCTCTTTTCGATGAGCAATCATTTTTCCATTTTTATACGTATGTAAACAATGCATTCCAGTAAATGGATTGCTTCGATATGATTATTATAATTTTCTTTAATTTTGTAGAAACGCCTTCTGACGAAGTACTCAGATGAAACTTTTGTGAATTTCTATACTTTTTAGTAACCATTGCTTTACATTTTGAGCCTGCGTTTACGTTGATAGTATGAATATGAACTTAATGCTTTGACTTTTGTCTTGTTCCTGTTCATTTATTTAGTTAAGGTATAGATATAGAACAAAACATGGATATCACTGAGGAAGAATCTGTACGTCATATTATTCGAAAGCAGTTCATGCAGGATGTTACCTCGCCTATGCTTAGACAAATTACTGATGTTCAAGTGATTTCCCCGTATGATATCGAACAATTAAGTGCAACTGACTGCCGTTATAAAACACTAGAGCGCATTGTTGAAAAAGTAAGAGCATACTATCTTGAGCCTCTTTCCGATTCTCCACAGACTGAAAAACGTGTCTTAGCAGATGACACAGTATCGTGTCTGCAACCAGCTGCAGTAGTTTCCGACCATTGGCTTTTATCGGTGCCAAGCGCCCTACGAAGCCACGAGCGGGATGTCGTCAATTACATCGGCATGCTTGTCGCTATTGACTTTAGACACTGGGCTGAAGTCACACCAGAACGTCATGACAGGACAAGTCTAGACTGTGACATAACTGAGGCTGCTGTTGGCATGGAAGTTAAAGGCTTTGCGGGGTTTTACACTACTCTTAGCCACGATGATTTATCCACCACGAATGTTGAGAGTCAGGATGCCCTGCATATTGAGAAGGCACACCCCATGGCGCAATCCAAAAGCAGTCTACTCCTTCGCGGATCAGCTGCGATGGTGTACCTATTGCGTTGCGCGGTTGAACAATATAATATTCCCTGGTATAATCCTGAATATCTTTTGCAATTCAGCTCTGTCCAAGCGGCCAGGGAGGCGATGCAGGTGTGTTTTCGGGGTTGTTGTGAAGATGGTGTAACCCCGTTGTGGATGCCAGCAACTGACGAGCGTGTGGAGTTGCTCCTTTCCCTTGGACAATCCCTGCGTGAGAAACAAACTTCATTTTACGACATTTTATGCGCATGTAATGGATTTGTTTTCAAGCCGCATGGTCCACTTTCTGTTGAAACGTGTTCATCATCACATCCTAATGGGTTTATCTCGCGTCTGCTTCAGCTGCATCACCGTTACCACGATTTCGCTTGCCATTCTATGACTTCAGGAGATGCTAGGATCCCTATTTTGAAGTTGTCCCAGTTAACAGTTTTAGCCTTGTCAAATGCGCTCCCAGCCTTGTGGCGCTTTCGTGCGCAATCTGGACTTTCTCTAGTTTCCGAAGGTGTTTCTCAGCCAGGCTGGATTCAAAACATTGCCGTCACTCATCACAACCTTCAAAGTTACGAAAGACCTCCTCTTTTCAGAGATTTAACGCAGCTTTCCATTTGTTGTGACTACCAAATTCCAAGGGCGCTACGTGATTCTGGTCTATTAGTCTACAGTACCCGCTTGTCGTATCTTGTGGACCGTGGGGTGCTTTTGGAGGCGGGGGGAAGGGAGGAGGGGTCTATTCGTATTGGGGCCATTCTTGCTACCGAGCTTCTCATAGATTACCTAAGCGAAAGGTTTACCCGCAATACCGGGTCGATGGAAAAGCACAAAATGCATGTAATCTGCGGTTTGACTCAAACCGACACAAGGTCCGTGAATATTCAAGCTTTGGACTACGCTTTATGGTACATAGGACGTTATCCTTCAGACGATATTCGATCAAGACACCACTTGTGTCGCACTATAATGTACTAAGGAGAGGAAGTGAATCAAAACACACGTGCACGTTAAACATATCAAATGGTATAGATTTCTCTTCAACTGGACAGCTTGGCGCTTAGTATTTGGATTTCTGTACAATAATGTTTTTGGTGTGTGTGTCGTCTACCGTAGAAGCAAACTGAGGGCCAACCAATTGCACACATTTTATGAAAAGCAGTCATTCGAAAAGGTAATTTTTTTAATCACGCTGCATCTGTTTGACAACATAAGATTGCTTACTTTCCTTTCTTTTTTCTGATTTACAAATGGGCATATTATTTTAAGTCCAAGTTACAGTGAACCCCAGAAAAAGCGGGGGAACATAGGCTTGAGGCTTTTGAGCTTTGCTCCACAAAGTGGTCCAACAGTGCGATCAAGAGCAAGTGTGTGCCAAAACGGGTTGATAACATGAGACATGTCCTTTGTTTTACTCCTCGCCAGTGGAAAGGAGGAGTGGTACGAGGTATAACTGCTGGATTTCTCCCCAGACGATTTATAACTTCCTCAACTAAGGAGGGAAGTTCTGATAAAAATGCCACTTATCCGTCTAAGGAGGGCAATGCCACATCCACTCGAAATCAGACACAGCATCGACTCCCCCAAAAAGGTCAAAATTTTAGTAAATATCATATGATGCAGAAAGCCCCACAACGCGATTTCTCTGAGTCAAACACTAACAGACCAACGTCTGGAAAGATCACTCCTAGCTTACAGCGCGCCAAATCGCGTCTGAAGCACAGTAGCAGTGCAAAAGGGTTCGTTAAGACTACCCATGGTGAACCTGCCCCATCCTTTTTTGATACTTCTATTCATGAAAGGCAGATGGATGTTGAGAAGGGGTTCCCCACAGCAATGGCGCACCTCAAATCGGTATTGGTATTACCCTATGCTCAGCAGGGAAAAGAAGATCGAAAATGGAGTCGTGTGACACATGCGTACAATATGGATGGTTACCCTTTACCACAGAACGAAACGACAGAGCCCTCCTTTTTTGATCAAGACAGTCTAGATATTCGGAATAGCATGCGTGATGCGGCAATGCGAACAAACGGTGCACATCCCACTGGAATGACTATGCCCTCGTCGTCCCCCCCGACCACTGAAGAGGTGCTTTCGCCTGACGTCCTGCAGCTTACCGGTGGCCAACCCCGCCAGGACGGACTGGGTCTATCACTGCGAAGCAATCTTGCTCCTGCGGACCAGACTGTCGAAGGCGACGACAGTATAAATGACTTTGGCGATACTCCTGTACAGATCACCGACATGCTGCGCGAGAGACTTATGGAACTCAAAGCCGAAAAGCTTCAGGAGGATCGTGATGAAACCTTTCTGCCACGGCGAATGCGCCTGGAGTCAGATGTCGAGCTTCAACGACGACAACAACGAAATCATAGGCAAGAGGATTTTCAAGTGTTGTCCAAAGCCTCAAAAAACAAACACCCGTTTGTTTCATCGTCAGTACCAACTCCACCAAAGCGAGTCCTGACTCTTTCGGATTTAGAAAAAATGGAAGAAGCAAACGGAACAGGGATCTCGAATAACGGCATGGCGCTAACGGTTTCCAGCTCTCTTGATAGCGTCAGCAACGAGCAGCGACAACAAGCAGCGCGCTTCTTGCGACACGCGGACGAATATCTTCCAGGGGCCAATACAAATAGCCACAACCTGAATTCTAAGCCTTTGACTGATAACAGCTTCACCGGTCATCAGCTATCAGATTCGTCTCTAGTCAATCCGCATGGAGTTTATTTGCTTCGTGTCCTTTCGCGTGCTAGCTATTGTAGTCGTCGAGAGGCTTCTGCCATAATCTCTAGCGGACAGGTTCGGGTTAACAACGTCGTTGAGCGTAACCCCTTTCGCTTGATTCGGCCTGAGGATGACGTGCATGTATTGGGGCATGATTCTCGTCTTCGCTATGCGCCGCCGCGGCTTTGGATGTACCATAAGCCGGCAAATGTTTCGGTATCTCGCAACGATGTTTCTAGCCGAGCCCTCATTAGCAAACACACCCGTATCCTAGGCATGGATCATCTGATTCCTGTGGGTTCTCTACCACTGCGTGCGCACGGTATTCTTATGCTGACCAACGATGGTGAGCTCTCACGTTTTTTGGAAAACCCTAAATCGAACATCCAGCAGACGTATCTGCTTCGGGTGCGTCCGGCTATTGATCCCATCCTAGCCCATAAACTCAATACAGAAGGTATTAACATTAACGGAAAACAGTTCAGGAACGTAGAGTTTTTAGTGAACCCATCAGCAAAGTCAAGGCATTCTGTGAAGATAAAGATTCGTGGCGAAACTATGCATGTTTCACAGCTTATGCAACATCTGGGTCGCATGATTGAACGTGGAGGTCGCATTTCGTTTGGCCCTTTTTCTCTTAGTACCCTTCCGGTTGGCTCCATGCGAGAGGTGACGGTGCCTTTATTCTACGCTCATCACTTAGGTGCTGTATGGAAGCCCTTTGTGGAGCGTGACTGGCCTTATTTTCGAAGGCAACGCGTCACGCGATTACGCCAGCTCGCCCGGTACCGTGAATTGACCCCCAAAGAAGTAGAGGAGCTTGAACAATACACTTATGAAGAAGTACATCATGCCTTGTCTTTTGAGTCACAGGAACTTTCTGATGCAGTTGAGAAACGTGCCAAGCTTATTCGGCACCACCTAGAACTGGAGAGCGATAAAGCTTTCGAAAGGAATTTTACAGAAAGCACGGACTACGGAGATTGGTCTTCCGTAGACCCTGGATATGTAACCGAGAATTACATATTGCATGATATCACTGCAGCGACATAAGCTGAGACAATGGGGAAACCATTAAAGCTAAGATTTTAAGAGGGGATATCATTATATAATATATATATATATATTCTGGAATTGCTAAATAAGGCAAAAGTCTGATAGGAGAAAGAAGAAATATCTGTCAGGTTGCTCTTTTCAAAAAAGAATTCTATTTTGTTAGTCAGGAGTGAGGGAATGGGGGATGGAGGAGAACAATATATTAGCCCTCAGAAACCTGAATGAACGTATTTACTAATCGGTATTTTTCTCATCTGCCCTCCACTCCAGTGTAAACTTTTTGCATATATATATATGTCTTTAATCCTTTTATCATCGATTTATATATATTTACTATTTTAGTTCCTATAACTCATTTAATAATCAACTTTTATAGTGACGTGCATCTCTTATTTACTCCCCCCCAACCCTCATGGCTTTTAGACTACCGGAAAACCAACATTTTTTTTTATAGTTTCTCTCTTATATTAATTATGTACTCAACTTTTGAAGCTGTGACGCGGTCTAAGTTCTCATTTGACGACTGTCCCCGCATCGGTCCCTTTGCATTCCACAATTTTGATTCCAATGACGACACCTTGGCTTGTGAGAGCGAATTCGCAATTACTTCATATAATTACCGAGCTGTACCAAAACATATGGATTCTGTGGAGGTACTTCCCAGCACGGGTGAGAGGTTGACCGCTGATCCTCTTGACACCAGTAGTCGTCTTAAGGACGATTTTCGTTCCTGGAAGCTGGCTTTGAACTGTCCTGTACCTCGTTCGATCCCAAAGCTTGATCATAAAAAGGGCACGACAACATTGGGTTTCATGTTCAACGGGGGCGTTATTATTGCGGTGGATTCTCGTGCTACACAGGGACAGTATATTGCTTCACAAACGGTAATGAAGGTGTTAGAGATCAATGATTATTTGCTTGGTACCATGGCTGGTGGTGCGGCTGATTGCAAGTACTGGGAGCGAGTTTTGGGAATGGAGTGCCGTCTCTGGGAGCTTCGCAATGGTAGTCGGATCACAGTTGCCGCTGCGAGCAAGATCCTCGCGAATATTACTTACTCCTATCGTAATTACGGGCTGTCGATGGGTACCATGGTGGCAGGATGGGATCAATTTGGACCTGCCTTGTACTACGTCGACGATAAGGGTACTCGTGTAAAGCACAATATTTTCAGCGTTGGCTCCGGTTCTGTCTACGCGTATGGTGTGTTGGATGCGGGTTATCGCAAAGATTTGACTTTGGAAGCGGCTTTTGATCTAGCCCGACAATCGATCTTCTATGCTACTTACCGTGATGGCGCGTCTGGTGGCATTGTAACTGTATATCACGTACACGCTAAGGGCTGGACACTAATCTCCCGAGATGATCAGACAAAACTTTATGATCGGTATCATTCTGGAAATTAATCTCAAACTCAGAAACCATCTAAACAGAGTGAATAATATATGATGTTACCACGTTTGGGGAAGAAGATAGCTAGAGTATGATTGAAAAAAAAATAACCATACCGGTGCTGAATCATAAAAGAATAAAATACTTATTTACGTATTATCATCTGTCCCCACCTTTTATGGATATTTCTTAGTTGTGAACACCAATGTATTAGACAAAAATGGAGTCTTTATATATATATATATATATATATGGGTCTAACAGCGGCGCTTGGTACTCT